CTTCACTTTCCGTTTCAATATAGATATCTGGCTGATTGCACTTGCCTATACTTCATACTTGGATCATTTCTGTGTGAATTCATGAACATGGAATGGTTTTACAGGTCATAGAGCTCAAAGAAAATGCTGCTACTTTCTCACCACCTCCAGCATCTGCTTCCAGGAAAACTGTCATCACAAATGTAGAGAAAGTGAACCCATCTCCAGCCCCAGTATCTAATGATACAGATGGTTCAGTATCTTTTGAAGCTGTGAATAATCAAGAGGCAGAAGGCATGCTATTGTTGTTTTCAAACATGTGTTCACTGTTCAAGATGTTTCACCACTAAAGTTCTCCTTTTGTTTTACATTTTTTTAACATATGTTGGGGTTTATCATTTTTTCAGCAGCTGAGGGCTATTCGATCTACATTAAAGGGCTTCCTTACAGTACCACTGCAGCTTCTCTTGCTGAAGTGTTCAAGAAGTTTGGACATATCAAACAAGGAGGAATTCAAGTCAGAAATAATAGAGTACGTGTGTGTTTATCTGTCTGCGTGCTATCTGTATTTTTTCACATATTAATTTTTCTCTTGATCCTGACAGCCACATGGATTTTGTTTTGGCTTTGTGGAGTTTGAGGAAGCAATTGCTGTGCAACAAGCAATTCAGGTATTCATTTTTCATATAAGCAGTTTTATTTATAAACATTAATGTTTTTATATATCGTTTGAATCAGATTGTATGGACAATTTTTCTTTTTGGAAACATTAATGTTTTTATAAACACTTACGAAGTTCATGTCGGTATACTTTTTGGAAACAATTATTCTGTACTTATATATTTGCCTCTAAACTGCAGATTTGTGCTTTCACATATTAGATTTGTTCTTGAGTTCTTGCCAATGGCAATTTGAGACTTGCCTCTTTCTTACATTTTTAACTCCGATTTCATGTGCCAGTTCCAGTTAGCTGACCCCAAACTCTTTTGGAACTAAGACTTGGATGTTGTTGGATGTTGTTGCATGATTAGAATGGAATTCTCAGTTTGTGGAGATAATAAGATGTTTTTGTTACATGTATGCTATATTATAGTAGAATCAATGCTTCCTCGACATATTAAGGATGTTCTTACTTGGACTGTAATTTGGTGGTTTGATCTGGTCTGGTAATGTCTGGTCTCTTTGTATTTTTATAACTATCCAAGTCTGGTCTGGTCTGAACTGGTATGTTCTAGTCAGATCTGGTCTGGTCTGGGACGGATTATAGTCCAAGTAAAAACATCCTAACCCCTAGATTTGGCTCCTTATATGTGAGTTTGCTGGAATTTTATTCATTGTATTTAATAATGTGCATTAGGCTTCTCCAATGCTAATTGGTGGACGCCAAGCTGTCATTGAGGAGAAGAGATCCACTAACTCGCGAGGTACGTTTGTTCAATTATTTTAGGGTCTGTGGCAAGGTTTGAAATTGTGTGTTGTGTATGCGTTTCGAATTTTGGTGCTACGTCAAGCCTTGTTGCAATGATCGATGCCTTGCCTTTCTTCTGCCTGGTGGGTTTAGGATTTCTGTGTATTCATTTACTAAAGCGATTCTCTGTCATCTTCTTAGCGCTTCCTTGGACAATTTTGATATAGAATCCAAACTGGCTCTTAACCTCAGAAAATGGCAGATATTCATCTTGGCACATCAATTTATTTTGAATTTACCCCGTTTAGACTTGATCAAACATCCGAGGCACTATTTTGTTATCTGCAGTTTAATCTTAAGAGTTAATACCTGGATTGGCCCCTTGCCTATGCACTTTCACTAGGTCTGGACCTCTCTTTTGAACTCACTTTGTTCCTTAACTATGCAATTTAGACACAATGTAGCGATTTTTGCCTTCATGCATATTTTTCTGCAATTAATTATACGTAGTATTATTGCCTTCATGCATACTTGTAAGGGAGTTTTTTGCACCTCGAGGACAAAGGACACACTCTTTGTTTAAAAATGATTTGATGAGAATTATTTTTTGCTCCAGTCCCAGACTTTTCCAGTAAGAGTAGTTTGTTTCTGGTTTTTTTCTGAAACTCATTTGGTCTGATTTTCTTGTCTGAAGTACATCAAGCCTAATACTCTAATCTGAATGTTTCATATCTGGTGACTGGTCTGGTTACTGGACTGAAGTGCTGATCTGGTTAATATAAGAATAAATAATAATGAAATGAGAAAGTAATCGGACCAACAAAATTAGGTCAAAATTACATACTGGGTAATTGAGAGTTGAGAGCCACATTGAGTCTATTTTTTATTGAGCCAGACAAATACTCCTATTTAGAACAAAAAATACTCTTCTACATTGTTACTATAGTATCTAAACGCTTAAAAATCTGCCCTTTTTGCATCAGGAAACAATAGAAGATTCCTACCAGGGAGGGGTGGTTTCAGAAATGATGGTCCTGTATTCCGAAATGAAGGTTCTGGATTCCGAAATGAAGGAGGGATTAGAGGGAGAGGAAGTTACGGAGGTGGCAGGGGAGGATACAACCGAGACTTCAATGGGAGGATTGAGTTTGGCAACAGGGGTGGCAATCGAGGAGGATCACTTAACCGTGGCGGCGGTGGGGGTGGTGATGCATCGTATCAGAGGGTTGACAATGGTGGTCGTGTGAAACGTGCTGCGGGTAGTGGTATGCCTAATGGAAATGCAAAAACCATGGCACCTCGGGTATCTGCTACTGCTTGAGAGCTGATTCAAAGTGGGACTATTCTAATTTGAATTAAAATAATTCAAATGATTTGAGTGTCTCGATTGAACCTTTTTTCCTGATAGTCAGGGGCTATGATTTTTTCGACTAAGGGTAATTTATTTATTTTCCGTGCGCCCTTTGATGGGTGTTATGTAGGATGATGGCAGATTTGGCAGTTGAGTTGAAGTCGTTTCTGTTATCTGTAGTTTTTTATGAATCGATTTATTATACCTCCAAGTCCCTAACCATAAAGGAGAGATGCCTTTTCAATCTTTAATGAATCATTTTTTGGGGTGTATTAATAGGAAATTAGGAATGTTGGACTTTTGATAGCCAAGGTTGGATCATTGCTTAGTCATGAATCACTTGCATTATGGTTTTATGGTCATGAGTCATGACCATTTTCTAATTTTTAACTTATAAAAATAGTTGGAGAAATGGTTCTGAAGATCGCAGTAGTTAATTAGTCTCCGCCTAGATGCTGGGTGTTGGTTGGGTGCCTTGGCTTTTGTTCAGATGTCTTGATTCATTGGTTTGATGTCTAGGTGAATTAGTCGGTTGCCTAGTTGTTCGTTCAAAATGCTTAATTGGTTGTCTAGAGTAGGAATGGATTAGGATGGGTCGGCCTGACCTGAAATCATTAAGGCTTGGCCCGACCCGCTACTTTTTGAGTTTGGGCTCGGCCTAGGGCTTGGCCCGGTCCTATAAGGGTGGGCTTTGGGCTTGTTTTTTTGGACTATTTTTTAATTTATTGCCCAGTCTTGCCTCAACCCCGACCCAATCCGGTACTTTTTAGGCCTGGCCAGATCTGGTCTCGGTAAAAACTCGGGCTGGAATTGGCCTTAATAAGCTCGAGCTTGCCAAGTCTTAGCCATTCATGGACTCGGGCCGGGCCTAGGCCTGACCGGGCTTTTGATTTTTGGTTGAAGGCCCGGGACCGGACCAAGTTAGCATCGGGTCTGGGCTGGGTCGGGTTGGGTCCATGTTTTTTTTCTTAAAACACAAAAAAAAAAAAATAGAAGGCCCAAACCGGGCTCGGGTCCGCCCGGGCCGGTTCCAAAGAATGGGTGGAACTGGGACCGCCCAACCCTAACCTTCGATACCGAGCCAAGGCCCGGAACCAAAATCGGAACACTGGACCGGGCCGGTTCCCTGGGCGGGCGGCCCAAACGGGTCCAAGACTAGACTTTCAGCTCAGAGCCAAGCCTGACCCGACCCGGTCCACCCCTAGTCTATAGCCTCTAGATTTGGCCGAACATTTCTTTGGTTTCTAAGGAATATATGTATATTTAACTTTGAATTTTTCACACGGACATGAAGAATGATACATGTGAATTAAGATAAAAATTACTCCCTCTATCTCCCTAACTCTGTCCCGTTTTACATTTTTCGTCCGTCCCATTAAGTTTGTCCCATACCATATTTGGTAATATTTGTGTGATTACAATTCACTCTTACTTTATTCACACTTTATCAATTTAATACTAACCACACAATTCCACTTTTCTTAAAAGTTGTGCCACACTCCTTTGTCTTAAACATAGTGAGACGGAGGTAGTATAATAGTATATATTTGTATAAATATTTAAATTTTATTATTATATGACAATTCTATCATTCATGCATGTTAATGTGTGGATGTTTTATACCACAAACACCATATAGCTTATCATATTTGCGCAAAATATTGACAAAATACAATTTGTGTGTCAACGACTAATCCCTGTTAACTTTAACATAGCGCCTTTTAGAACATTAATTGGAGACATACGTTGGGGTAGCTCAACCGGTAGATTGAAGGTGCCACAAGAAGTAATTTTGAGCTTGAATCTCGACAATTGCGATGAGAGGTTACAATGTAAAAATGCATAGAGTCTTTGCAAGTAGCAATGTCAGAGGTCTACACATTATCCGTCAATTTGTGATTAAAGTCGAATTTACATTTTTCAAGTTAACTATTTGGTCGATGTTAAGGATCCCTTCAAGTTAACTATTTGGTCGATGCTAAGGATCCTTAGAAATGAAGTGTCATTTTTTATTTTTGTACAAATAAGGCTATCAAATCCAAAAAAAAAAATTCTTTTGATTGGTACAAAATTACAAATGTACAATCATATCAGTAAGTCTTACCAAACGGGTACTAACTGTCCCCTTAACGTATTTTGTTCCCTACCCTAAAAGGCAATGCCCTAGCCCCTAGGAGTGACCTAATGTGGCGGCCGGCAAACATTTTTCATAGTTGAAAAGACTCGCACGCTCCTTTAGCCGAGATAGGCTACTTCTTTTTCTTTTTTTTTTTTTGTTTTTTTTTTGGGCACATGGTAAAGTGAATTCAAAACTTGTAGAGTTCAAGCATTGTTTCAATAAACAACGGTGAAGCATAGATAATTAAAAAAAGTACTCAAATCACACAAAAACTAGGCAAGTTTTTACTTATGATCTTCAACTGCAGCGGCTTCTTCAAAGGTTTCACCTTCCACCAGCTCAGGCACGTCATCATCTTCTTCTTCAGTAGCAGCTGCGCCAGTACCCGGAATAGGTTGTTTTTGGAAGTGTTCGGCCAACTTTTTCAAGTTCTCCAGGTTATCACGACCTAATTGGTTAATAATTTGGGGTAGGATGTCCTGCAATTTCTTAGTCTGAGGGGACCCGCTGACAACCCAAGTATTTGCAGCAATTGAAGCCTGGACTTTGGGATTAATGAATTGGATGGCTTCATCTTCCTTGAATATGTTCACACCTATTCTCTTTAGTGTGCTTTGAAGCCTTTTGTCATCAGTTGTATTTGTCTTGTGAACTGCCTTCTTCTTTCTTCTCACGGTTCCCTTGCCACCTGACTGAACCAGCCATCCTTTGAAGCTTCTCGACATTCATCGTGGAACGACGGGGTGTAGATTGCGTCCGATTGTCTGGCTGCTGAGATAGATAGGTTACTTCTTTTTGTTTTCAAAAGAAATGGCAGAAGTACACAAATTCTACATAACATGTCGGTCAAAGATAATTGGTACGGAGTTGTTATGAGCACAAACAAGAGTTTTTGTGTACACAGACAACTTTTGTCTGTGTCCACATACATTAATTTTTGTGTAAAAAAATACACTGACAATCGCCTGACACTGACAACAGCTTGCAAATCAATCTATATACGTGCAGTGTCTGTATGCACAAACAATATTTTTTCTGTTGCACAGACGATTATTTGTTTGTATGCACAGACAATATTTGCCACACAAATAATAGTCGTGCGGCTCACAAACAATAGTTGTATGTGTGATCAACTTTAGTTTTCGGTGTGATCAATTTTAATTGTCTGATTTGGGTGAACAAAAAATTCAATTGTCTATACACATCCAAATGAGTGATGTAGTTGTATGTGTGATCAATTTACATGTAATTTGAAAGAAAAAAGAAAAATAATAAAAATAGATGAAATAAGTTAAATAAATTGATCTTTTGCAAATAATGGAAAAATTTTGATATAAAAAAGAAGAGAAAAAGAGGATCAAGAAAGGAAAAGGCTAGGAAGATGAAAGGGAGAAGATGATTTTCCAAGGGATTGGGTGAAGAAGAAAGATAGAAGGGGAGGGAGGGGGGGGGGGGGGGGTGAGAAGGGCGAGAGAAGGGAAGGGGGAAAATGGGATTTTTTAGGCTTTTATATGTTGTACAATTTGTGTACCTTAAGCATTTTCCCTTGTTTTAAAGTTCAAAAATAGTTTTTGCACACACTTTTTGAGTGTACACACATGTCTATGTAGGTTTTTTGTCTCTACAGACAAAACACATATGTAAAAGTGTGTACACCCAAATAGTGTACAACAAGAATGCTCTTTTAAAGTTGAGATTTGTCTTTTTTATTCGGAAAATAGTGTTGTACACGTTTATTGTAGACATCATTTTAAACGCCGGTTGAATTGTCCGTTCACATAAATTTCGCACCAACAATTTTTTGTCTGTGGTACAAACAAAAAAATTTGCCGGAATGAAAACATTTCTCTTCACAAAATGGAAAAAAATGTGTACAAATAATTCATCCGGTGTGTAAAATGGCGTGTACAAAAAATGTGTACACAAATATGATTGTTTTTATTCATCCGATTATTATGGAAACACATTTTTACAGTTGACTCTGAATTATAATCCTTTAACTATTGTGGGAATGATGCATTTGATTGATATTCTTCATAGTGAAATGACTAGGAGTTTCGATTTGACAATACTCAAGAGGCTAAGTGTGGGTAATTTTGAGATCAATGATCAAGTGTTTCCCCCACAATAGTCATTGAAAAAAATAAAAAATGAGTACTAAAAATGTCACATTCAAGATACCCGAGTACTAAAAGTGACAAGAATTTCCAACTTTACCGAGTTACTCTGTATTGTCTAATAGAAGATTTGATTGAACTTTGTGTATTTTTATGGGGTTTTTAATAACACAAAAATCACGTTTTATCAAATATATTGCTCAATACGTATAAAATCAATTAAATATTTATCTCTAGTACTTCTGGGTTACTAGGCACTACTACATTTTTAAAATAATAAATAATGTAAGCCTCTGGGTTGTATGCCCCTTAGGTTGATTGAAAGGAATTTTGGTTGATTCACCATTGACATTTAGAATTCATTTATTTAAGAATTGGAATATGCACATGAAGAAAAATTAATTTTTATTCGCCATAGAGACATAAATTGTTTACAATGTAGTCACTATACACTTTCATTCTACTATCATAATCATGTTACCCTGACAATGTAGTGTACCATCTAGTTGTACTTACACCCATTCTTCACCCATCCAAACCTTTTGATAGCATTAGACAAATGTCTTCCTATCCCTAAATTCATCTTCATTGCTTGCATATAACACTCCTCATCCATCCTTTCTTCTTCTTCTTTTACTTTTATTCCACATTTATTCTTCTTTTTCTTATTCTTCTTCCTCTTCACCTTCATTTCTTTCTTAGTATTCATGCAAGCTTCAATTTCTTGGGCCTCCCACAACAAATCCATCTTCTCCTCATCATCCTCATCTCTATTACACCCAAATGCTGCCGTGCTACTTTCAAACTCCTGTCCTCCTTTCATGAACCCTCCCTCCGTTTTTTCTCCCAAGATCTCCTCGAACAAATCAATTATGTATAATTCAAATCCCTCAACATGAAAAAGACTATCACCTTCATCATCACCAACAAATAGAGAGAGGACAAAATGCAAAACGAGTAAAAGTGTCGTGGAAATAAAAAGAGGTGTTAGAAAAGATATGATTTTAAGGAGGAGACGAGAGAAGAAAAGGAAGATTGAGAAGAAGATGATGGGGTGAGAAAGAAGGATGGCAAGGTGGACCTTCAAGAGATGAGGCACCAGAAATGAACATAACTTATGTATCTTTTTGTATATAGGAAAGTTGTTATTATTATTATCAAAAGAAGAAGAATAAGAACACATCATGTAAAAAAGTGCTCAGCTTGAGGAATTGAAACAACACAAAAGCATCTTATATAGAGTAGAACAATGTATCAACATGGATATATTTTTGATAATTTTGTGTAATGGATATTTATCTAATTACAACATATATATTAAGAGTATATAAGAGCTCAAAAACCTTTCCAATTAAAGAAGATTATATACCTTAAATAAGTTTTCCTCACTATAGTTTTTGTTACTTGCCCTAAATTTCATCACACAATCTTATATCTTTCAATGATTCTAGCTCATGCTTAATTAATCTGGTCAACTTGTATAGGACTTGTAATAAATTTAAAATAACTAATACTCTGTATTACAATAATTATATGTGTGGCTAGTCAATCCAGCTCAATTTTCCAAATCCAGCCATTTAGGGTAGTTTTAGGCCAACGTTTCGTGAATGTTAGAAGCGGGATGGAGTTGAAAATATCTCGGAAGTAGAAGTAAAACATTAAGATTTAGAAGTTAAGTTTCATCAGAGTAAAAGATATTGAATGACATAAATGCCCTTTTATTGTAAAACTTTCACATCAGGAAAACAACTATTACCAAACCATCACTAATCACCACTACCAGGCAACACCCGCCGGACCACCGCAAAGTCATCAAAAAGTTACTGGCTCCGCTAGGAAGCCACCCCTAAACCCGCGGTGGGATTTGTTAAACTTTGAAAATGCTAACGCTAAAACCTAAGAGGGAATGATAAGCACTAAACTCTAAGGAGTAAACAGTAATTTGAACTCTCAATTTCAGAATTTAAACATGCACTCCTACCTTTTCACTTTTCATGTTTTACTCCTATTTAGTGAAAATAATTTAAAATTAAAATATTTCATTTAGTAGAGTAAAGACTTTAATATTAGGACAATTCATCTTCTAAAAAACAAGCTATACCATAAACAATTCCATAATAGTCATTAGTGGTTTACATAAATATATTGAAAAGTGAAAAGGTAGGAGTGCATGTTTAAATTCTGATAATTTGACATTTTTATCGTATCTCACCTCATTTAACTAATGTTTGAGTTTTTGTGATAGATCGGCTCTTATCAGTGGTGTATCCAGAATATTTGGTCAGTGGGAAAATAACTTTAAATAATACAAACTATCTTCCGTGAACCAAGAATAATGCATACTTTGAAAATAAGTTTTAATAATACCAACTATTTGAATATAGACCACAAATGATATAAGGCATCTTTTTACTAAAAATTCAACCATCTAACTCATCAAAAACTTATATAAAAATATCTAGTTAGTGAATATATTTCCAAATATCATTTATTTGATGGATTGTCATTAGCTTTTGATGTCTTAAATGATCGGATTTTTTTGTCAAAAAACGACTCCATATTATTTTTGATTTACATTCATATAGTTGGTATTATTAAAAGTCATTTCCAAAGTTTGTATTATTATTGGTTCAAGGATGATAGTTGGTATTATTTAAAGTAATTTTTCCGTAAGTGGGAAACAAATGAAATATGTAATTATAAGTTTGTAACTAATTTAAGTTACAAATTAGTTACATACTATGTATAATTTATTAGGTACATTAAAATAAATTATTTTAAACTAATTTGGATAATAGGTTTAGACATTCTATTGTTTATTAAATACAAAACCAGAAATATAAGAAATGGATGAAATATGTAATTATAGGTGATCTAAGTGAAAAATAAACATGTTTTCATATTAAGTGTGAAAAGATGTTATTGAAATTTCATATCATTTATTAGCTACATTAAAAAAATTAATTTGAATTTTAGATTTGGACAAACTTAATTTAAAGAGTTTTTTATACCAAAATTTAATCAGTTTCAAAAAAGCATTAAAACAAAACAAAATGGAGTTGCCTAGGGGATTCGAGGCCCTTGACACTTCGGGAGGACATGCACAACTCCATCCGCTAGGCCACGACGCTAGCTTGGTGTGGAAATGTTTTAAAAGATACTTATACTATGCATAATACAATGATATATATATATATATATATATAGAGAGAGAGAGAGAGAGAGAGAGAGAGAGAGAGAGAGAGAGAGAGAGAGAGAGGAGAGAGAGAGAGAGAAAACTTCATGTCAGGCCGGCCTGACGGGCTGCCCCGTCCGGCCGAGCCCGTTTGGGCAGCTTCCCGGTGGAATTTTTTGATGAAATTTTTTGAGCATGTTCCTCATCAAGTCTAGTTTGTTCATACCAAATTTCAGCTCAAAATTCAATCGGGAAGGTCGTCAAAAAATTTGTGCAAGTTAACTGGTCCGGAATATGTATTTTCCGGACCAGTTAACTTGCAAAAATCATTGAGAGGAATTCTAAGGTACGTTATGCACATGCACCCAAAATTCTGTCTCGTTGAGAGGAATTCTAAGGGGAATGTCTCTCGGCTTAATTGCTCTAAAAATCAAC